AAAAAGAAAAACCCAAGACACTCTTTAGATAATTTCGGATGCCGGCTGCTTCGACGCCCCCTGTCAGATTATCCCGGGCGAGAGAAACTTTGGGTGAAATGTACTTCCTGTCACGACAATCGAACTCCTGTTTACTAGAGCTTATTCAGAGCACCATAATGATATATATATATATATAAGCTAGTCGGATTGTATAGAATGGTGTTGTTTTCTGTGTGGCATGTGTTGGGACCTAGATAATATAAATATAAGAGCGTATAGATTGGGACCTAGACACTCAGAAACTCGAGAGTGTAAGCACTAAGCACGTATAGGTTGGGACATTGCGACCTATGTGTATGTGTGTGTGGGGGGGGGGGGGTTACCTTATCTCTTTAAGGACGAAGCAGACATATATGTAATAGAATCCGATCAACAACGGACCAAAAACATCTTTTCTGCACATTTAGAGCCAGCTGACTTGTTTGACAGGGTAATTGAAGTGAAACGGGACCAGATATGGCCTGGAGATATCGGACTGTCTTGTCCGATCCGAGAATGTCAGTCTCTACCGGAGGGGTGGCACCTGAACTTTGTAGCTGTGAAAAGGATGTGGTTGTGTGTTTTTTTGTTGTTGTTGGTGTTGTTGATTTTTTTTTGGGGGGGGGATGTTTGGGGGGGGGGTGCATATTCTGATGTCTTCTCTTACGTCTTGAAGCGTGTTCTCCAGAGGCTACTCTACTTAGATTGCCCAGTGTAGGACTTCATCATACGTCACTTTTTAAAATTACTTATTTATGGCCACGTCTTACACTGAGCAGTCATGTGGCAGTTGTGGTTATTCTCCTTTTTGTAAGTTGCCGCGCTTACCTTAAACAGGAAACTGGCTAAACCGTCGTCAATCATCAGTAGGCCTAATATTGTTTGCCAGTTTGCCTATGGCAGGACAAAAGTAGCCAGATGTTAAGACAAAACACGCCCACACAGGTCTACAGTCTACACCGTGTGCACCGGGCACCGGGCAAAAGCAAAGAAGACCCCCCACAGTATAGCGTGGGTAGAACACAAGATTTCGCGCTCATTTGGGAAATAATGATATTTTATATAGGTCACAGGGAAACAATGTAGGTCACGCGGAAGCAACAGGTCAAACAGGTGTCAGTTGCCGCGCCCAGCGTCTGGGACTGGGAAGTGGATGTTAGGTAGTATAAAAATATACACGCCCATTTCCTAAATGGGAATATAGGAATGCTTTGCAAACTAGAATTGCTATCTGGAAGTCTAAGGATGGGAAATGGTAAATTCTTAGGTCTGTACCTGTAATGTACATTCTTGTATACTATTGGGCCTTTCAGTGATGTAATGGTAAATTCTTAGGCCTATACATGTAATATACACTCTCTTGTACTACTGGGCAGTCTGGGAGCGTAATGGTAAAATAAAATTATAATTATACGCTCTCGTAGATCTACTATTTGGGAATTTAAGAGTATAATGTCTCAGTCTAAAAGTATACTTTTGTGTTCTGAGGAGCAGTCAAGAGATGTAATGGTAAAGTCTATCATCATCAGTTGAAAAATCTGGGACAGACATCGGCGACCACGGTTCTCTATTCATTCCTTTGCTCGGGGGCTGTCAAAAAAGCTACATACCTGATATTCCCCTGTCTTCCACCTGTTTAGGTTCTCCTTAAGTTGCACTGGGTCTACACCTGCTTCGTTTGCCTTTCATTTTGCCAGTGAGAGCTAGATGTCCAAGGCCTTTGCGTCTATTCATATGTCCCTGAAACTGCATAATTTGTCTCTGCCTGATTGTTTTCATTAGCGAGTGGCCCACTTGGGTTTCTTCAAGTACTACCTCGTTTGATTTCTATTGTTTTCTCCTCAAGAAATACTCCGTTGCGTTCTATACTCACTCTTATACTGTCGGGGGGAGCAAGAGTAAAGTGGTTGGAGAGCGCCACTGGCAGGTCCTACTTCTTCCCTTTCCCCCTGTTGTTTCTGTCTGTGTGTCTTACTTTCCCCAAGCACCAAATGACCAATACTGTGTCGATGTGCTTCTCTTTACTCAAACAAACGGACATCAGGGGAGTCTCGGATGAAGCGCTTTGTCGCTGCACGCTGAAGACAACAGGTCACCTCTGTTCCCACACCAAGAAGCCAAGTACTCGTATGTGTCGAGTACCC